TAATTTATTATTTATAATAATAACTTAGATTCATAATTTCAATGTATTGTATTGCATAAAGATATTATCAATTTTAAAAAATATCTTAAAAATGCTGGTCCGCAAAATCCTTATATATATTTATTTATTTTCTTTTATAGTAAACAAAAGTTATCATTATAATTAAACAGTTGCACTAGCAATTATGACAAGGATTATTTATTTAGGTCTAACCAGCCACAGTTCTGTGCACCGAAATTCAGAAAATCTGTTCAGCATTTCCATCCAAATTGAAAACAAATGAGAAAATTGAGGCGTTTAAAGATTTTAACGTTATATTTTAAAGCTGGTATATTTTAAGTTCAATGAATCCCAATTTAAACAATTTGCTACTTAAAAAGAAATTTCCCTTTCTTTTTTTTTTTTTCACTGGGTGAGACCTTTAAGGTAAAGTAAATAAGAAAAGGTTTGATAAAATACAAAGGGCAAAGTACATATAATGAATGGTTTTTGTCTGATATGCAAATGGCCACATGAAAATGCAATCTCTGAATTCTCTCTCCTCTCTATTTTTCTCCTTTTTTATGCCAAAAGATAGGGAAAAAAAATACAATGTAATAATCTGTAGACACTGATGCTGATCCTTTGCCAGAGAAATTAACGAAAACTATAAAATTAAATAAGCAAGAGAAAACAGAAATGAGTGGTTGAGGCAAGAGCCACTTGTACCTATGGATTGATACGGCCAAAAGGAGGGTAGGGATCGCGACGGTGCCGCTGTGCCAGGCTGCCTATCAGAGACCCAAGACAGCTCAGAAGTGATTTTTCAGTTCACTACACGCACAACCAACTTGCATCTGCATATGTATAATGTAATCTAATATTTGTAGGCTGAAATTATATGACTTAATGAACAGCGACAACGGCTAGCTGCGCATGTACGACCCTTCTTTTTTATCAATTGCTCAGATTGCCTATCTGCCCTCTTTTCAAGATGCTTTTGGTCCCTTCCTCTCCCATTTACTTGAACATGTCACTACCAGCTGATGCTCCCTCCATGCATGAACTTCCCAATTATTTCTGCCTCTGGTATCCTTGCTTCGATTCCTATAAACCTCGATGCATGCTGGGCCTTGAGTCAGCCTTACGTTTGAGAGATTTGCCGAAAGTTGCGTTGACAATTGACCGGTGGGATTAATCTGGCTCATAGTCACACTACTCATTTTGATGCAAAATCTTCTCATGATGATTAATTTAATACACTAATCATAACCTTTTAGTTCAACGATCTTGTCAATGCTCCACAAGTCAAATATCGAACAGTGACCATGGATGGGACCACAAAATCAATATGATGCCTGAGCCCATGCTCATGACAACTAAATTAGACTTGGGGGCATTTTGATTGAGGTGGGTCCTGACACCAAACGAAGAAAAAGGGCCCAATACACGAACAGGTGATGAACATGTGAAATTTGTATGGGACCTCTGGTGACCACTCTGTTTAAATAATAATGATATCCTATGAGATCCAATTAGTTATTGGCCTTTCGATATGACTGTATAATTAAGGGCCGTTAGATTTTAAATTTTTTTTAACTTTCTTTTAATTAGTTATGATCATGGCGGCTAACTTTCAATAATTTAGATTTATTACCCTGTTTTAAAATTCTCTCCTACTTTTTCAAATCATCCCCGTCGATTGCCCATGGGATCTAGTCAAGGCAGATTTACCTTTCGAAGTAAAATGTTTATTTATATTCTTAAAGATTAAAAGATAATAAAATTTAAATTAAGTGTTTTGAATTTTTAAATATTTTAATATTTTTTATTAATAAAATTGATAAAATCCTCCGTAAGGTTATCACCGTTGACCACAATGACCTTTTTTGTTGTAGTTATTAATAAGGTTATAAATAATACATTAATATTTATAAATTATTCGAATTTAATTTAAATAAAATTTAAATTTGATTTAATTATTATTGAGTTGAGCTTAACTAACTTAATTCATTGATCGAGTTGAGTTTAAATATTTTTATATCTAGTTTAAGTAGCTGTAAGCCTAATCAAATTTTTATATTTAAATATATTTTTATTATTTTAATTAATAAAATATTTCGAATTTGAATTTTAGCACAAATAATTGAGTTTTTATCGAATATAAAAATTGAATTTATTTTTATATGTTAATCGAATTTAATCAAATAAATTTGAATAACTCGTTTTTTATCTCGAATCAAGTTTGAATTAAAAAAATAAAATTCGATCGAATTCGAGTTAAATTTCGAACTTCAAATTTTAAATTAAATTTAAATTTAAATTTAATATTATATTAACTCGAATTCGATCTATTACTCTTCTAATCATTTAAGACGTTGCCTAAATTACGGTCCCATCAAGTTTTTTTTTTCTTCTTCTTATTATTATATCCACGTGGCTATAATGATCAAGTCTCAACTGGACCAATCATGAGAAACGTGGCATTGACACATTCAATGATACTAATATTTACCTACACCAGACCACAAGGGTTGCAGAGGGTCACTCGTTCAGACCCATAAGAGAAAAGAAAATCAATGGCATCAAAGTGTTTGGTCATACCTTTCACGTCCCGACAATAATAAGGTTATGGCTGGGAAATTTGACAATCTTATAAAGTTGAAATAAAGGGGATGTTTGCAATTAGCAGCTACATTTACCCATTGAGTTTATATTTTGATTTTATTATCTTTGTTTTGGCTTGCATGTGAGAACCCTATAAGTTTCAAATGAAGAATAATTTCTTTCTTCCAGTCTAACTAACTAATGAAGTACTACAGACAATGACATGGATTTTGTTTCCATATGTTTAAATAAATGAAAAAATAAGATAGAAAATTTTTAAAAAGAAAAAATCTCTATGCTCTAGTGTGGATTGTGATAATTCACGTTTTAAAAAAGTTTTTGATCCAAGCTTTTTGAAACTTTTAACAAAATCAAACTTTGACCAGCATAAACTAACTTTTATCTCATGCTAATGTGGGAATAGGTTTTTTTTTTTTATTGAATTTGTCAACTTTTAAATTTTGATTATCAAAATTAAAAGTTGAAGATTAGCTGTTGATTGAAATAATAGACTTATATATATATAAATTAGCTAAGTATAAAGATTTTATTTAAATAAATTAATAAAGTTTAAATTTTTTATTATTTTAGCTTTTTTTTTCAATTTACTTTTTGTAAGTCTAAATTGACCTATTACCTCAAATTGGTTTGACATTTTGGCACCGAAAACACAGGATCTCATGTCCCACCTCAGATTATACAAAGATTACAAAGAGGAAGCAGAGTTAGACAAAAAAAAAAGAAGGATGTTTTCATCTTGTCTTCTAATCCTCCAAATGGGAAAATCCGTTTAATTTGTGCTTTAAATGGAGCTTTTGAGTCATTCATCCAATAAGAAGTCAAAGAAAGTGTTTAGATGCAGCAGCTAAAAATTATAGGGTTAATTATTGTTCAAACTTTATGGGGTTTCTGCCAACTAAAAGCTTCATCAAAAGCCCTAAACGAAGCTAAACTTTCCGACATTCTTTGCAATGATGGTTTTGTAATTTGTCATCATTCTTCCATTACGTGACCTTCTTTTTATTTTTATTTTCCTGTTTAATCTTTTATAGACATTTTCCCCGCAATGGAGTGGGAATGAATCTTTTATATTGGAATTGAATTGGATAAAATATTCATAGAATACTTCACCTCAAGCAAATCCAACACTAAAGGCCAATGGCCGTGGGGAACATACCAACTTTCTTTTATTACCTTTGTTGGAATTAAAGAGGGAAAAGATTAAAAAAACAAATTAGAAAGAAATATCTGAAACATGAAAAGCATGCTGACCAGATATTGAAACCTGGCCCATGAATTAGTGTCAGATTGATCTTAGTATGCTGAAGAGATTATGGTGCAGGTCGTTGGGCTGACAATTGACTCAAACAAGCTCTGACAAGTGGGAAGAAAGAAGACTAGAAAAATATAATAAAAAGAAAAGAAATGGAGAAAAGAAAACTTGTAGCAAGCCTGGGTGGGGATGAGAATTGAGAATTTGAGATGGTGATTCAAGGTTGCTGGGCCAAAGAAAAGCCAGACTTGCTGGGTAAATTTTATATGGGTCTTTACAATGACAACTGGTCGCCCATCAACAATCAATTTATCATTAAAAAAAAGTTTTTTCCGAACCCAGACCACTGGCATTAAAGACAGTTGGGCCAACAACTACTATGGGTCATTGCTCATAGTAATTAGTAAATAGAAAGTGAAGTAAGTTGGCAAAAATCAAACAATTCTAAAATATTTTTAAGCTTTCTTTGGTAGGATAGATAAAAAATGTAAAGATTAAAAATTAAAAGAGAAAAAATAAAAAGTTGAAAAATATATATTTTTATTGGTGTGTTAGATTGGAAGGTTGAAATTTTGAAAAAAAAAAAATTTTATTTCCATTCAATACTTGATAAAGTCAAAAAATAAAAAGAAAAAAATATAAATTTATATAAATTTATTATTACAACCTTTATTAAATTACGATAAATTTTTTTTTTAAAATTTATATATGATAGACAACCTTATAAATATACAATTTTTACTCAAATCACTCATTTTCTTTCTTCTTATCTCCAAATAAAAATTTTTTGTATTTCATAAATAAATAAAAAAATAATATTTTTTCATTTTTTATTCTCTCACTTTTCTTTCTTATCAAACCTGTCCAAATTTTATTTTTAATTTTTCATTCTTCCCTATTCATCCTTCACCAAGCATTTAATGTCTTGTCACTTTACCGTAAATTTAATTAAGACGAAGACCATTAACCTTAGGACAACAAAATACGAAATCCACTACTGTCATTAGATATTCCAGGACCTAAAAGACCATTAGAACTCAACGCTGTCTATAAGAAATTGGTCAGAAATATTTGCCAAAACATTACTAAAGGTTGCAAAGATTTCCAATAATTTCAGGACTAATGTAAATCTATTGTTCCATTTGTTATAATAGGATGAATTTCTAGAGCAAACATAAATCATAAATTAAGGTGGAAAAGAAACACGAAAGAGAGACTTTAAGGAGATTAATTGGTAAAAATAAGTAGCAAGATTAGACAGGCATATACGTACAAAACATCATTTAATAATAGGGATATACACAGAATTGTGTAGGTAAGGAAAAGATATACTCTGTAAACTGGGATTACCTGCTTCACTATCATTTGTAACAGGAATATGCCTCAACAACGATACCAGCAAGAGCGCTCAACATTTTGACAACAGCTCCTACTAAAACAGTATCTAAAAAAGGGACCAATTCTTTGCTAACATGCTCAGCGAAAATCTTGAAACTCCTGTGGAGAGAAACTGAAAGACAGCAAAGTTTCTTCAAATTTGAAAAACAGCACGGCCTCCCATGTTTAAAAAACTTCTAACCAAATTTTTTGTCTTCATCTTAACCCCGGGCCAAAAACACGTCTAAGTGGCTCAAATGATCATAGGATGAAGCCCCTTCCAGTTGAGAATTCTTTCTCACATTTCTGAGGCCGTTGATATGATCTTGTCTCTCTGGATGTTCTGTAAAAGCAACCTTATGCAGATGCAGCATTGCTATCATGCTAACTGCGAATAAAGCCGCATTGGTTAGTATCCCACCCATATGATCAAATTTCATGGATTTCTTTGCAAAGTTGAAGCTAGAAACAAGAACTTGGATTAGCATTTTAGAGCAATTCCCTTCATGTGACACAGGATTTTCTCCAGTTGGACTAACTGGTGTACCATAAAGGTTTTCAGGTGAAACAAAATGGCTAGCATCATGTACATCTCCCACAAAAGCTAGAGCTTCATCAATTACTTTGTATTTCTTCCCATGGTGCTCAGCCAATCTCAACGCAAGAATTATCCTGCTTTGTTCTAATCGTGCAATGGCAGCATCTCTCTCAGCCCGCTGCTGTATATGTACCGTCTGTAAAAAGATATATATATTTATATAAGAGATCCATGTGCCATGCTAATTATTTATATCCAAAAAATTGTCACAAAATAAAATGTAAAAGCAAACAGGAAAGATCAGAAACAAAGAAGTAAATAAAAAATGAACACCACAGCACCTTAAAGAAACCAATGAATCTGAACCCGGTGTTTTTTCGCTAGGGGTTTTGAAGCAAGGTATTAGGATTCAAGTATTCAACCCATTCATTGGTGCAAAAACAATGCTTTTCTTACATTTCCTAGCATTAAATCTCATACCCAATTCCTTCTCTTACATATTTTTTGCTGTTATAATACCTTCAATGAAGTTCACACAATGCTTCTGCAAGCCAATGCGGTCACTAGGCATGGCATAAAGCCATCTCAACCAAGTTTTGTGCATCTTGCGATGCCACTCCATAATCCTAATATATCTCCTCACCATCTCACCATTCACTATAGAATACAGGATCCACAACTAAATCAACTTCATTTCAGATAAAGCTCATTTCTGAACAAGCTATATCACACATATCATAGAGTTTTTGCTTGGTAGGAAGGATGGAAAGGGGTAAGGATAGAAAATTTGTTAATTCAATGATTAGGTTTCATAACCACCTTCTTACATTGTAACTTACCCATTGGATTAACAAATTTTTCATCCTACCACTTTCCATCATTCCTAGCAAAACCAAAAATCCTAATATCTCTTCATCATCTCACCATCTTCTCAGATTCCAGAATCCACAAAAGCAAAGCAACTTCATTTCAGATAAAGCTCATTTCTATACAAGCTATATCACACATTATAAGCTCCCTCATGTTGTAGCAAAGCTTGAAGGTGCAACTATAGAACAACTGCCTAGATGATTCATTTTTCGCTTTGTTCCTTTGAAATCCATGGGACTTAACAATCACATCTATACCATCTTATCAAATAGTAGGTTCTCAGTTCCCTATATAAAGATAACAACTTGATTTTCGCTGCTCATTTTTCAACAATCCATTCTGTATATTATATCTTGGAAAATAAGATTCTCCAATTAACAAACACATCCATAATGCAATAACTAGATAATTTAAAACAACCTAAGAATCGAATTTTTTTCCGGAATTCCCTTCAATTCTCAACAACCAAACAAAACTTTAAAACTTACAAAACTAGAAACACACTTTAGAAATTCACTTCACACTAAAAGAAATAGAGCTCCTTTCATTTAGTTATATTGAGCCATTTTCATAATCACTCGTATATTGATTTTACTTTAGAATTAAAGAAAAAAAACAAGCCATAAGCAACCAAAACCAGTCAAAAACCGCAATCGAAAGGAAAGGAGGAGTTAAACTGACGTGGAAAAACTCGAGCTGGTCCTCGAGATTCTCGAGCGCGGTTCTGATAGCATTAAGACTCTTGGCCTCTTGAATTGCGGAGACACCATCGTCGATTCGAAAGTCCTTGACGAACACGAAGCCTGACCTGTTATCGTCGCCGACGACGCTGTTGTCGAGCTTCTTGTTGTCGGATTTTCTGACGGCTTTGATGGAGTTAAGGAAGTGAGCTCGCGAAATTGAGTGAATGGCGTCGCTGAGCTTGTCGTGTAAGTCCCAGATTTTCTCTAGAACCGCCTCGATTTCCTCGATCTCCATATCCCATTTCATTTCTAAGGCGAAGGTAAAGCAAAAGGGAATTTGTTTTTTTTTCCCTTGGTCAAATTATGGAAATGGGTTATTTTATTCAAAAATTAAAATGGAGTGAAATCTTCTTATTTATTTAAAAACAAAAACATAACTGATCAGAGTTATTGAGGTTAAATACAAAAGCATAACTGATCACGTTCTATTTATAGAATTAAATTAAGTTTTCCAAAAAGCATCTTAATTAAATGAAATTTGTATTAAAATGGTTAAATAAAATTAAAAATAAAAATTCAAATCATACATTAAAAAATTTTTATTAGATAGACAAATGTATAAATTTAAAACTATCTATATATTTTTATTTAAATTTTTTACCATTAATAAATATAGATCAAAATTTGAAAGTAAATAATATTTTTAATAATTATTTATATATGTTATTAATTTTTATATCATTTTATTAATTTATAAATTTCAATTTTCAAAATAAATGTTAAAAACCAAGGTTCAATTTTTTTTTTTAATTTCAAAAACAAATTTTGTTAAAAAATAAAAAGCAAAATTAACTTTCCACTTTTTCCTAATCAGAAAAGAACTTTGACGTTTTTACTGATGCTACATCAGGGTTTACCATTCTGATTTTTACCGCTAGGACGTTAGGTTTTTATCACTCGTCGTTTTGAGCGCCTACTCTCACGAAAGTAAAGGTATCGAATTAAGTCGAACCGATATAAGGAAAAATTCGAGTTCGAATTCGATTTATAACTTGGAGCTTGATATTTTATTCGAATTCGATCGAATTTTATTTTTCAAGCTCAAATTAGATTCGTGATCGAATTCGAGCTACTCGAACTCGTTTGATTAAGCTCGATTAATATGTTAAAATAAACTCGATTCGTATACTCGATAAAAGTTTGATTATTTATGCTTGAACTCGAACTCGAACTCGAATTCTGATTCGAAATATTTTATTAATTAAAATAATAAAAATATATTTAAATATAAAAACTCGATTAAGTTCGCGAATTATTCGTGACGGATATAAGAATACTCGAATTCGATTCGATCGATAAGTCGAACTACTTGAACTCGATTTGATAATAATCGAATCGAATTCGAGTTTTTTTCGAATCGAACTCGGATAATTTACGAATACTAATATATCATTTACATCTTTATCTGAGAGCCGTGCTTCTTACAAATATTAATATATCATTTATATCCCTATCCGAACGTGCTTCGTTTCAAGCGCGGAATAGAAAGCACTACAACACCCAACAGCAAACCTGCTTTCATCAACAAAAATATAAGGTCCTGTTTGTCTCTCGCTTTTATTCTGGTAAGCATTTTTGGCTCCATTTTTAGCTTTTTATATTTCCTTCTTCCCCAAGGAACTTGGAAAATCGCTTCGATTTCCTTCTTTCCCTCAAAAAGTCAATGAAAATGTCCTTATAGTTGATTGTCTCGGAATCAATCCGTCGTTGATTTTGTTTTCACACTTTAGTTTTTATCGCTTTTCTAGAGAGAAGAGGAAAGAAACAAAGATGGCGGAAACAGAGCGACTAACACAGAATCCATGGATGAGTTCAGAGCAATCTTCAAGATTTGAAATCGACAGTCATGCTTTGTCGATCGCGGAACCAATGATAATCGATAGAGATGGGAGCGAATTAGGTGCTCCTCTGGATCAGCACAATGACAATCCGTTCAATTCGAATGTAGGGACTGGAGAGCGAGCTTTGTCTGCCGCTGGTGGCGCCTTTTTATCCTCCATCATTGCTAATCCTCTCGATGTTGTCAAAGTAATGATATTTAACACAGTTCCTTTTTGTTAATGATTATTTTACATGTTGGTTGCCGGATTGTTTGGTGTTTGAATTTTCGTTATATCGATTGCTTCTTGCTGTTTAAATGTGCTTTGAAAACATTGCTATGTTTTCTATTGTAATTAACAGACAAATTTGCAAGCTCAGGCTGCGGGAGTACCTTTACTCGCATCCGCTAAGTAATCTTATTGGTCGAATGGCATATTTTGGACCAAACACGGTACGAGTGCAATGCTATTCCCTCGCTTTTGATTTTTTCAGAAAGGAACTTTTATGTCCTGTGTTTTAATGTCTGGTTTGTGGTGATAGACTAATGCTTACTTTTGCCTTCCTTGAATGTTTTGGGTTAGATGCTTGCTGATTTAAGATGTTCACCATCATGCACACGAGCTGGGGTTCATGGCACCGTAGCAATATGTCCTCCTGATTGTTTTAAGTACAAAGGAACATTAGATGTCTTCAACAAGATAATACGCCAGGTTGGTGTTGCAATGCAGTCATCTTGTAGCCTGTAGATACTATTGTCTATTGTTGTAATAACCTAAAGTAGCAGTGCTTTATCTTAGCAATGGATGTCACTGAGTATGGTTTTTTATGTCCTTTTGTTTGTGTTTTCTACTGGTTTCAACTGCCTAACAGGAAATGTTCGGCAGTAGGGATTTTCTAGGTTGTGGCGAGGGACTCATGCAGGTCTGGCTTTGGCTGTACCAATGGTGAGTTCCTCTTTTGATTTGTGATCCTTTTAGCAGTCAGAGAAAGTGCTTTTGGATATAGACATGTTGTACTAAACAATAATAAAGCTTTTCTGACAGTCACTCACATTGCTATACAGGTGGGAATCTATTTACCTTGCCATGACATATTCCGCAACTGGATGGAGGGGCTCGCTGCACAATATATGCCAGGTGCAACACCAATGTTGGTTGCTGACTCTTTGGCATGGTCATTAGCTTGTGCGTCTTGCTACCCTATTGAACTTGCTAGAACACGCATGCAGGTAATTTTGATATTAATCCATTAGGATAGAAGAGATATGGTGATGGCTGCAGATTTGTAACTATGTCGTGAAAAATGTTAAATATGGTTGACAAATTAATAATTAATCTGAAAGAATAGCCAAAAGATAATACAAATCAAATGATAACCACAATCAAAATAGAGAATATTATTGCAGAAAATTTTTCTAACATAAACAAGAAGAAGTTAAAATGAAATCTTCTCCATTCCTCCAACCAGAAAACTTTTTACTGCGTCTGTAAATGTGACTGATTAAGGCAACCTGATGGCAAATTAGTGAATAAGATGAGTGAGCACCAAAGCCACCAACATTAGAACATGTGCTATTCCTTGGTCAATTGCGATGCCCGCAAGCAAATAGGAATGCAAAATCAATGTTAATAATCATCAACATTTTTATATATATGAGCCCTTTTCAGAAAGTATCTTCTTTGGTTTAGATTTGGATAATGAATTTAAGGAAACCCAAAAAAAAAAAAAAAATGATATGCTAGAAATTATGTTTATGTGTAGTTTTTCTAGAAAGGTTTTTTTCTTTGTTGTGCCGTTTAATTCTAAGTTTCAGGAATAATTGCTTTTATGGATACATAATGTTTTGCTTTTATCTTCGATGAAGAACTAACATAGAGATGATTTGAAAAATCAGTTGATCTTTCTAATGATTTACTATGCAATTACACAGATGAGAAGGGTTTATACTAGCATGATATGTGTTTTTGTCAATTACATATGTATGCAACACTAGAAGATACCAGATTAGTACCTAGTAGAAGCATTCCCCGGCTTTTGAGTTCAGATATCTTTGAATTACTTTCTTGCAGGGAAACCTAAATAAGGATCCTCTTTGCTGTTGTATATCTCAAACAGTTGCTCAGGATAGTTGGTTGCCAAATTTCTGCACTGCTCAACTGCATTAGAGCCATATGCTTGCAACTCCTTCACAGATTTCTTCAGATCACCTTGTGGGTCACCTTCGGTTAGAAACTCTGCCAAAGGAGAGCCCCTGTAACACGCAACAGAAATTCCAGCAAATACAAATCAGCAGCAGCAAAGTACACCTAATTTGAAACTCTATACAACATGGGGACCTATTGCCTCAGCCATGGTGAATGTGAATGCTATAAGCAGAGATTTTTACTTATTTTATTTTGGTTTTACATCATCTTACCAATTGCTTAGGATAGAACAGGAACAAAAACTCAATGAAAGAGAAAACCCTACAAGAAATAGTCAAACAACTAAAGGAAAAAAAGAATGCATCTTATATAATTAAAATAACAAAACTTAAAGCATTATGCAACAACATCCTGAAGTGAACATGCAAATGACAGTGGTCCAATTATACCTCAACTAAGAAGTGAACATTTCAAACCCCTGTCAACAGATAAAAAATTATTAATGACCATAAGCATTCAAATCCACACCTGTTAGCATCAAATTTACTAAAACTTTGCCTTGCAAAGCTTCTTCCCCGATGTTTGCTGCCAGTAGAGAGCACGGTTCCAGATCCTTGCCAAAGTAAGCAAGCAGATCTTCCTCAAACTTTCAATCCTATTTATGATCTTTGATCCTTTTAAGTTGAGAGAGAATCACATCAAATTCCACTTCATAATCTGAAACATCTTTGGATTCACTACATGCATTGCTGCCATTTGAAACATGTTCTTGCCCACTATCAGCATTATTGCAATCAGAACCATCTTGTGACTCACCATATTCATTCTCACCATCATCAATCAGAGTCATTAACAATAAAACCATTCAGACCATCAATCTCACTGTCTGAACCAATCTCTTCTGAATTGTCATCTTTAACATCCTCAATTGTAGGGATTCCCTTGCGCATTTACTTTCGCTGGTCTTCTTTGAAGAGGAATTTTGGACTTCTCCTTCAGATTGTATAAGTGATACTAATCTCCGCTTTGGAGGAGTTAAAGTACCTCTGACATTGTCAATCCCAGGGGTTGTAGCAGCCACCAGGCAACCTTTGGATTTGATGCTTGTTTGATCAGGAACCACTTCCTCACACTGCAACCTCCCGAGTTTACCAATCGGAACATTATCATCATCATAACTCTCTGCGTCACTAGTAACAATATTAGAGGCACGTTTTCTTTTCAGTACTGAAATAAATGGAACATCATCTGCACAACTACCCACTTTTTGCTCTCGGTTCTGATCACCAGTCCTGGTTTCATTTTCACTACCCACAGTTCCTTCTAATTCATTCTTGGCTGAAATGTTACCATCCACATTTTCCTCCTTACTCATAGAAGTATTTGGTTGTGGGCCAAATCAGGTTCATCATCACTATCATGAATATTAATTATGCTGACTGAAGCAGGTTTAGCACCAGCTAGAGTGGATGGAGCCATCGGTTTACTGGGGCTTCTTTCCTCTTGAAATGCCAAATGCCTTTTAGGTCGTTTACTAATCTGCACTCTGTATTCTCCCTCATCAGAAGCGAGATGCTTGTAAGGTTTGTCACTAAAAGGAGTCCCTGCCACAAAATCAAACACACACATAGTGCTTCCTAAATATTGGAAACAAAATATCACTATGATACACATAGAATCTAGCCTTTTCAAAGTAAATTCTTAGAATCTAATCCCTCGAAGTGCAAATAAGTCTCCTATTCTAAAGAATGCTGATGTCAATGTGTGTACAGATTTAATAGATATAAACAGGCGAATCCATTCTATTTGTTGATGATTGAAATGTGCTTGGGCCTCCTAATGCTAGCATGACTTGGAAGAGAAAATATAAAACATAGAATAGGGAGAAAAGAATCATCATTACCTGCTGCTTGTAGATTTCCGCTATCTTTTCCCGGCGAAATCAGAATAGATCCAGAATCCACGAAACTCACTGCTTTGTCTATGGCCGGCATGTCATTTAAAGTGGTTCTAACTCGTGATCCAACTTTTGGTTTAACTGCTCCACTTGTTCACACAAGCTACGGCATAACAAATTGCATCAGATGTCTTCCCATCAAACGGCTGTTCTGCACTTCTCAAAACCAAGCTCTTTTGCAGCTGCAACGTCAATGATTCCAGTTCTTTGAACTTTTGCTTCCAACCCTCAGAATCATTTTCAGCCTTACACTTCTGATATTCCAAAATCCTCTTCTCAGTCATCAGCTGAAAAACTTTGTCTTCCTCATCATTCGCCTCAGTCAAATCCGCAACTCCCTCCATCACCTCTTTTCCTCCATAACCAACTACCTCTTCATAATCACTATGACTAATCAGATCACCAACTTCATAATTCCGACTCTCTAAAACCTTAATTTCTTCCTCAAGTGCCAGCTTTTCCACTTCTGACACCCTAAATTTAGTCTCAAGTACTTCATACTCGCTCTTCCACTTTCGAATTCCAGCTCCTTACATCTTACTTTGGATTTCTTGCTCCTCTCTTCCAATTCACTACATCTACAATTTACCACCTCTGTGTCATAAAAAAGCTCACTTTTTTTTAAAACTTTTTCCTCCACTTCCTTCATCTTGATCATCAATCTCAACTACCTAAACCCAAAGACAACTACTTTTCAAATCTTTTCAACAATTAGCAGTCAGTAGAGCATAAATCCTGGATACGTTCACGAAAATTTTCCCGACAAACCACTTTGGGTTGAAAGAATCAGTCTTAAAAGTCATTTAAATTTCTTTTCTTGAGAAAAGAAATAGTAATATTAAACGACAAGAAAAAGCCTAACATTTTTCCATTTATTGGGTTTGTCGGAAAGCTAAAATTCCCATCCTTTTAATATTTTGAACCAAAAACACTAATGTTCGAATTCTTGCCTATAATTTCTTTTTTTTTCTTTTTTTGGTGGAACTCAGAGCTTAAAACCAAACTTAAGTAAACATTTGTTTTTTACTTGTAATTTTCTTTTGCTCTAATTTCTTGGGAACCAAACAGATAGAGATTACGATTTAAGAAAGAATAAGCCGGAAGTAAGAATAATAATGGCACAACTTACAATAAAAGGTTTTTTTTTTTTTCCAAACATCGGGAATTCTTTGGCTCCCAAGATTACAGAGTTTGTTTTTTTTTTGACAATTTTCAAGTTACTAGGAATTAGGGGAAGAGTACCAGATACAAGTCCAAGATGGGACAGAAAGTGGCTACGGCAATTAATTACGTAAGAAGCCAGTCTAAAACGACGCGTTTTGCCTTGTGTAAACAGTAACCACTCACCGTTCATCTCGAATGACTCGAGCTAATCTGCAAGTTAATCTGCAGCAATCTTTCCCGGGAAGCAAACGGAAAAAAGGAAAAAAGAAATGAAAATCCTAAAGCTTATCAGCCAATACTCCACTCTCACTCACAGAAGACCCTTGAAAAAGTTTCAGTTGGAATCCAAACAATGGTTCTCCACATACAGAGAGGAACCGGAGCTCACGGATCTCATCCAATACATCGATTCTCTCAAAAACTACGAGAAGTTGGGCGTCCCTAAAGACGCCGGTACCGACTCCGATGATGGGTTCGATTTGCGCCGGATGCGACGCCTAATGGACCGCCTTGGTAATCCGCAGTCTAACTTCAAGGCCCGTCCCTCTACTTCTCTTCCTTTTCCTTTTCCTTTTCTAAATTGTTTTTTTTTCTTCCATTTTTTTCCATTTCTGATTTGTTTTTTTAATTATAGAGTGTTCACATTGCTGGGACAAAGGGGAAAGGATCCACAGCAGCTTATCTATCCAACATTTTGCGGTCGGAAGGCTATTCTGTTGGTTGTTATACTAGGTAGGTGAAACCAAAAAAAAAAAAAATTACATTTTTTATTTGCCTTTTCACATTTGGTTGTCTTTTTTGGAGATTGTAATTATATATATAATATATATTTGTTAGAGCAGTCCACATATACTGAGTATAAGGGAACGTATGTCAGTTGGAAGAGTGGGGAAGCCGGTGTCTTCCAAGACCTTGAATTGCCTTTTCCATAGGATTAAGCAAAGTCTTGATGACGCTATTTTGCTTGAACATGGGTGTCTTACTCACTTTGAGGTAGGTATTAATTTTCCTTATATGAGTTTGTTTTTTTCTTTTTTTTTCTTTTTAGTGGATAAGCTACATTGCTTGACTTATTTTCAGGTTCTTACTGCTGTGGCATTCACTTTATTTGCTCAAGAGAATGTTGACATTGCAATCATAGAGGTCATTTGATTTCTTCAAATCTTCTTTTTGTGTGTGTGCATGCGCATGCAAGTTTGCTTGCACATTAGACTTACCGTTCCTTTTTTCTTTCTTTATTAAATTGTAATATGACAGGCTGGGTTAGGTGGTGCTAGGGATGCTACCAACATTATTTCTAGTTCTGAACTTGCAGCATCCATCATCACAACAATAGGCGAGGAGCATTTAGCTGCTCTTGGGGGTTCTTTGGAAAGTATTGCAATGGCAAAGGCTGGAATCATTAAATATGGTTGTCCAGTTAGGTTATTTTCCCTGCACAAGTTGTTTTATTCTGTGTGTGCTTTGAGCTGATTTGATTCAATCATTGTGGTTGTCATTTAGTACCTTTTTTTACTCGGAATGGCATGGATTCAAATAACAATTATCTTTGGTATATGTTCTTTTTCTTCTTAAGAGTATGTATGTGCTTCTGTTATGCCGTATTTTATCTAATGAGGTCATAAAGACTTTTGTGCACATTGTATTAGTGCAGCTGCTTGAGATATGTGCTTTACTGAAACCACCTTGATATATATGACTCATTTAGACCAACAAAATGTCTCTTGATAAGTTGATTAGCAGGCTGTTCATATGCCAGTGATGATAACTTTTGCACACAATTATCCAACCTTTTCATCAAGTGTGTCATATTCTCTGGTTTTCTTAAATAATTATTGGCATACATTTATGCATCTTTACTATTCAAATTGGTTATGAGATATAACACCTGTTTAATGGTTCAAATTTTCAGTTGATTTTAGGTGGGCCTTTTCTTCCACACATTGATTGCATTCTTCGTGATAGAGCATCACTAATGTCTTCACCTATAATATCAGCATCTGATGCTGGAATTAGAATAGCCATAAAAGGAATCAGTGCATTCAAGGGTCGACCTTCACAATCTTGTGACTTGATTATACAACTTGACCATGACTTTCAGCTGGTATGTTCTTCCAAGCATTACGTTGGGAATAACTTGCAGTGTTTTGTACTTAATTCCATCAATAAAGACCCTCTTTAGTTAAGTATAATTGTGTATGCCTTGACTTGGTTTTTTAATGAAAATAAGAGATCTTGCTTAGTTCTTTTTAATTTTGAAGAACTGTGATGAACTTATTATTGTTTAATCTACACAGTCCATTGAGTTATGTGATCTAAACCTGTCCATGCTTGGAACTCATCAACTTCAAAATGCAGTGACCGCAGCATGCACAGCGCTTTGCCTTCGGAATCAAGGTGCGTGCTTGGTCTTTGTTATTTCTGGTTGCTGGATTTCTATTCAGCATCATTGAAACTCATCAATAGGATGGCAAGCTAAACTTTAGGTAATGGTGAAGTGAATACTATATGCAAATAACAAAATAAGTGGTTAAGGTTTTGTTGAGTCCTGTTAAGTTTTTTTTTTTTTTTTTTCCCTCTCTTTTATTATTTCTCACTGTTTCTTTGGATGCTTTCATGGATACTTTAGGATGGAGAATCTCAGACGGATCTATTAGGGCTGGCTTGGAGAATACATGCTTGCAAGGAAGAAGCCAATTTCTTACATCCAAAGAAGCTGAGACATTAGGATTACCAGGATCAACAATATTGCTCGATGGAGGTTAATACTCTTATTCTCTTTGTTAGTTATTTCTTCTCTTAGATTTGCAGAGATGCTACTTCAACTTTTTCTGGTAACTACTTATTCTTGAAAGCATTTATGAATTCCAAGATATATTCTTCATTGTGTTTTCATTTGACCATGGAGTGTTTTTCCCTTCTTATTTTTATTTCTGCATAACTATTTCTTTGTTCCCATTGCATAATTGCCACTTCTATAAAATTAGTTCTGACTGCACGCTTTTGTTTTTAGCCCACACAAAAGAATCTGCTAAAGCTTTATTGGAAACAATACAAATGACATTTCCGGATTCACGATTGGCTATTGTGGTTGCAATGGCTAGTGATAAAGACCACTTAGCTTTTGCTAAAGAGTTTCTTTCAGGTATAGACCAACTTATGATTGTTCTATGATGTGTTTTGTTAATCTTATCATTGCTGAAGTGTATAATAGTGGACAACACCAAAATGTGGAGATAACTTGGGACTGGGGTGTCATCAGTACACAATAAACCTTTCTCCTAGGGTTGTACCTTGAGAAATGTCATTTTTCAGTTTTTCATTGCTTTAATATGTTTGGTAGTTAGCAGGAGGCAACATGTATTTCTTGGATGGATTTAACTGCAACCTTACCGTATTCTCTCTCAGGTAGACAATTAGAGGCTGTCTTCCTAACAGAAGCTGACATTGCTGGTGGCACATCTCGAACCACTTCAGCGTCTGTTTTAAGAGACCGATGGATGCAAGCTTCCAGAGAATTGGGCATCAAAATTCTTCATGATAGAATGGCAGAATGTAGAGAATTGTTTGAGGACAAATTTATTTGCTCAACAAGGGACTCAGAACGTGAAATCATAGTGGCCGCCGACTATTCACTATCAGATTCACTAAGGTTTGCTAATCAAATTCTTAGAGAAAGAACACAGAATGGGCCAGGTATTCTTGTGGTCACAGGATCTCTGCATATTGTTTCACTTCTATTAGCTTCTCTTAACATGTAATGTTGTTTTTGTCACGATGAACTCAGTAGTCACATTGTGCTATCTCATGCATGTCAGAATCAGAGATTTGTTTGTGATTCACTTGCCAAGTAATTTTTTGAAAAAAAGTTTCATGCCATGATGAACTTTTCTGCCATACTGCCCTAAATTTGGTGTACAACGAACAATGTTATGAAATATTAATGGTCTTTCCGGGCCTGCAAATTTGACCCATGATGTTACAGGTTTAGACATCATTATCAGAGCCCAATGGTATTCGACAGGCCTGAGCCTAACCATGTCAGGTAAGAGTCTGGACGTTGAAATTTTGCTGGAACTAATTGTTGGGTTTAGCCTAAGCGAAATAGATGCAATCGTCTAGCCTAAATAGGCCCCGCTGAAACCCTTATAATTATATCATTTTAAGATAAGAATTTTTTACTGAAAGCTAAAAAACAACTTGAGAAGAGATTAAATCTGTTGGATTATGTAATCAGAATAGCGTTCAATAAATTTGAAATTCAAATTTCAGGAATTTATATTTTTATCTTTAAAACTGAAAGTCATATCAACAACAATGAGCATTTTAAGCAAGGAAATAAAACAAATCCTGTTACTTAAACGGCTGTTCAAGCAAACATAACAAAACAAAAGCACTAGCTAAGGCCCCATGTGTTCCAGACATTCCTGCAGCAAATGGAGTGGTCCTTAAAAACTCTCAAACCAATTTCCCATTTCCCCTGCTAATAATACTCCTTTATGATCGATATCACGAGTCACCATCACCCCTGCATGAAACCTAATTCTAAATTTGCTTTTTTTCTTTTTAATGTTTTTTGTTTGCGAGTTGGGATTGTGGGTGGTGACAGGCCAACAGGGCGCGCCAACCATGGGCATTGAAAGCTGTCTTTTGAGCCATCTCAATCCCATATTTACCAAATCTCCCTGAAAGCTCTCGAAGCTAAAGAAACATGTCAATACAAAATTTTGGAAACAAATTTGTTTTCTTTGCCCCACTTCTTAAAATCACCTTGCAAACTTATTCAAAATAAATTATGATCATAGTCCCTACATTCTAATGAAATTTAAAATTTAATCTTTCTACTATAATTTATAAAAATATAGTCTTTTATATTATTTTGATTTGATAATTTTAGTCTATCACTCATTCCATCAAATTTTTATCATTAAAAATGTTAATGTGATCGTTGACTTGATAATATAAACGTTAACTTTGCTGATGTGATATTAATTTTATTGACGTGATAATATGGATTAATTAAATAAGTTATTAAATTATTGAAATGATTTTTATACTCACATGAAATTTAAATTTTAGTCTCTCTAGTATAATTTATAGAAATTTGACCCTTGTACAAGTTGAATTTGATAATATTGATCTAATTACTAATGGGATCAATTACCATTCATTAATTTTATTGATGTAACCATTTTAAAAAAAATCTGAATATTAAAAAGTCTTATAAAATTCAAAAAAATATATAAGAAAATTTAAAAAATGATAAAAAAAATAAAGAAAAACTGATTTTCTAGGCTTTTCAAATTTTTTAAAAACATTAAATTAAATTTTCTAATTTTTTTAATTTTTAAAAAATAATATTTCTTGAATTTTTTAGAAAAGTAATGTTTTAATTTTAAAATATTAAATTTAATACATTAAAAATATTGGTAATATTAAAAATTCTAAAAATTAAAAATTATTTTTAAAAAATGAAATTTGATTTTTCATAAAAATTCTAAAATATTATTTTAAAAAATTAAAATTATATTAATATTTTAAAATAAAAAAATTGTATATAATTCAATTTTTTTTAATTAAAGTCTGATTGTTAAAAAAATTCAAGATATATGGTTTTCAAAAAATTACAATATTTGAAAATAATTAAATTTAATTTTTTAAAAATCTAAAAAATCATAAAACTAATTTTTTTAATTTTGTGGGTTTTTTTTTAACTTTTTCAAATTTAAACAAATTAAGATATTTTTTAATTTTCAAATAATTTTTAAAAAAGATAACAATTACATCAGCAAAAATAATGGAAAGTAATTAATCGTATTAATATTTATATCAAAACTATTAAATTTAATTTTTACAAAAACAAAATATGAATTATACTAAAATGACTAAAATTCAAATTTTGTGCGAATAAAACAACCATTTGAGCAATTTCACAATTGATTTTATTCATGTTATCATGTCAACAAAGTCAATATCATATCAGCAGAGTCAATGCCACAATTATGTTATCAAGTCAATAGTTATATTAATATATTTAACGACAAAAATTTAATGAGATTAGTGATTTGATTAAAATTATTAAATAAAAAAAATATAATAATTATATTTTTATAGATTATAGTAAAAAGATTAAATTTTAAATTTCGTTAAATTATAAAAACTATTATCGTAATTTGACCAAAGACAAATTTTTATAGAGAAAAGGCAAAGTGGTGAACACATGCAAATTGTTAAACTTATTTATTGTGTCAACAAAATCAACGTCATGTTTAGCAGAGTCAATGCCACAGTTATGTCATCAAGTCAACAATTATATTAATATATTTAACAACAAAAATTTAATGAGATTAGTAATTTGATTAAAATTATTAAATAAAAAAATATGAGAATTATATTTTTATAAATTATAATAGAAAGATTAAATTTTAAATTTCGTTAAACAATAGAAACTATTATCGTAATTTGACCAAAGACAAATTTTTATAGAGAAAAGGCTGAGAGGTGAACACATGCAAATTGTTATACCTATTTATTGTGTCAACAAAATCAACTCTCTTTACCACAAGTAAGGGTCAACATCCATAACCCTCCCTTCAGAACTAGTTCGCCTCTCATCAAAAAAAAGGCTCGCCTGACACATCTACTTTCCATCAAAATATCATTTTAAAATTAAACATTTAATTTTTAATTTACATGAAATTATTAAATGTAATTCATATTTATTTGAGATTATTAAATATATTTTATTGATAATTACATCAATTTTTTTTAATTTTGTAGACTCATCATCAATTGTTAACTATATTAATTAAATAACCATCATTCATCTTATATATAAAATTAAAAAAAAAAAAAAGGTCCAGATACATTAAATTTAAACATTTTCTCCATCATAACTTTCTCCATAGTCAATACACTTCACCTTCTTCTTCATTAAACCTTAGATACTTTATTAATTTGAACGTCGAAGCGCATCCAAAGAATCTACTACGTACCCCTTAACTGTGCCTTTTAACTACATATTTAAGTTTATCACCTTCAATCTCCAACCAGCTCCCGTCCAACTAAAACAATAAAAAATACCATTATCACAAATAAAAGGGCCGACCCCTGACTGTACTGTATACAAAGACAAAACCAGTGCCAAATGAGAGATATACAGTCACCAACTTGTTTTTTAGCTGCTCAATTTCATTTTATTGTTTTTTTTCTTTTTTTTTTTTTTGGTATCCTACATCCAATGTACAACGCCCTCACCATGATCTCTGAATCCGATGGGAGGTAACAATATATACTAGTACTAGTACTATTAATGTCTCAGCAATTGCCCGTTCCATTGCAGTTTGCTTTTTCAAACTTCTCTATTTGTTCAATGTCTTTATGTTTTTTCTTTCTTTTTTCTTTGAAAAGTTCCAATCAGAAATTAATATTGATATATGCCCCACATACTGTAGGTATACAAAGGTTATTTATTTCAATACTGATCAACATTAATTTGAATTTCAAACTATCCAAACTTAAGTATAAAAGTTTAGATTTTTGTAAATATAATTTTAAAGTTTGGAAAATCACCCAAATCATCCATATCTTGCATAGAAGTATTTTCTACCATTATTTAGATTCATGTATAAAACTCATTAATCAGGACAGTGAACTCCTTTAAAAACGGATTCAGTAAAGTCCTGCTGCCATTTTGAGGACGCCAAAAACAGGAAATTTGGCTGCTGTTTCTTCAACTTTCAAGTTTAATTCCTGAACGAAAATGGGCACTGTGAAAGGACCCTGTATGGTTTACACTTTGTATAGTAAAAAAAAAAATCTCATTAGGTAGGTAGACGGAGCATTTAGTTTCCCAAAGTTTTAACTATTACTATACAAGTATATATACATATATATATATATATTTATATGGTGTTCTTGCTTCATTCTTTGAGTCTGTTTACAGTGTGTGTAGGGTCCACATTCATGAAATCGACGAGGATACAGCATGGCCATCATTAAATCCACTAGATTACAAGAAAGATTTCCTTCACAATGTAAACACAGAATTGAATTAAATTGAATTTAAAGGACAGCTAAAGGAGGAGCTGACTGCCATCAAGTTTTAGCCTGGGACGGCCATAGCGGTGGGGATGGGGGACATGGAAATCTAAATAAAGATATCAAGGCCTTCTCCATTCAATCTCATCCGCACGATTCCCTTGCTATAACACCCCCCCTCCACCCTTCCCGAGATACAACATCAAGGCTGGTGGTGTCTGGTTATGTGATACAGATTACAGAGAGAGGGAGAGAGAAAAGTGCAGTAATGTGGTGCTCGTATATTTCGTGGGTGCTAGTAAATGGTGTTTCAGATTGGGTAGTAAATGAAGCTGGGGGACGCCCCCACCTTATTTATTTACTTTAGTAGTGGAATTTTTTAAAGGCTTTTGGTTTCAAATTTGTCCCATATTCTCTACTTCAATTTTATACGTATGTTGGAGACTTAATTGGTATTAAAAGAGTTGATATTGCTCCATCTGTCTTAAATTATCTGAGTATTATTGATTTTCACTCAATTTAGAAAAAAATGATTTTAATATATTTAATATTAAAATTTAATATTTTTATAAAATTATAATTTTTAATTTTTAATATCAAAAAGTAAAAAAATTATTAAAAAATAATATCAAAATATCAAAATAAGAGTTTTAGATTAAAAAAATAATTTTGAAACATCTAAAAAAAATTAAAAAAAATGAGACAGAGTGAGTATTATATTATGCAAGTGCTTTTAATTTCTACTAATAATTAACTCTATGTATATATGTTATAGTTATGGACAATGAAGTTGATCATTGAAGCTCCAACGAAGCTAGCTAGCTAGTTTGGATTTGAACAGTATTTGGTTCTGAGTCTTCTGACCTGCCCTGGCTAAATCTCTGGCTAATTCCAACCTCAAAATGAAGAAGGGAAAAAGAGGAAG